TCCCCTACGCTGCTCTCTAATAGGTCATTAACATAATAATGATAACAATCATAATAAAATAATAAAAGGTAACAGAACAACCGTGTAAACTATCACAACTTGTCACCCAACTTTCTGGTGTCTCACTGTACAGCCTCTACATCCTTTCCCAAACAAACTGGGTGAGACTGGAGGCTGTTTTCAGCTTTACCTTGGCCAAGGCTTGGAGACGTGAGATTCTTGCTGCTCCTCCTCTCACCTTCCGCTTTCTTTCCATGCCTTCCCCCTCCTCTAAATGTAACCCCCTCTCTTTTTGCATTCTCTAATAGAAAAGAACTGATGGTCCCAATCTTTTGCAGTATTGCAGTGGGACAGCTACTGAAATCACCGTTTTAATCTCATATTGGTGTGTATTTCCCACTAAGGCTATGTGCAGTGCCTATGTTCCTCCAGCAGTGAGGCCACAAACTAGCACCAGAATCGGAAGCTGCATTTTCTGTCACTGCTGCTCCCTTCTCCCGCTTTTGCGTGAGCTCGTCTTGTTTAGTCTAAAAGGAAGCAGGATCAGGCTTGAACAACAAGGGCTGTAACAACATTAACCTTTCTCAAATAACTTTTCCCCTTTCCCTGAAAAAGGACAATTTCCCTGCTTTAGACCGCAGAGGGTACAATCAAACAGGGGCCTGCCTTACAGAAATACTACAGCCAAACAAGTAAGGGATACTGTTAGTATGAAAGTCTTGCTCCATATTTTATCTAGGAACACCTTATCTAGGTGTTCCTGCTCCGGCAGGGGGATTGGACTGGATGATCTTTTGAGGTCCCTTCCAATCCCTAACGTTCTGTGATTCTGTGGTATTTCACTTGCTCAAAAGACCTTTCTTTTTTTCCTCTATATTTAGTAAAAGGTTAAATCCAAATCAAAATAAATCCTCTTTGCTACTACCTCAAACAGGCCATGGCCTCTGTACTTGCAAGCCCTGAACCCATTTAATTGTTTAATGTCATAACGTGGCAGGGTCACATTAACATGTTTGACGTATTTCATTAACTAATCAAAAATCTGAGACCCCAATATCAGAACTGGTCCTCCATTCAGATGTCTATTACCCCTGTTTTAGCAGAGGCATTGGTTATCAGAAAATATTACACAGAGCTTTAAGTTTAATAAATTAGCTGTTAGTGGAAACTTATCCTATACATCCACTGAAACACACACACACACACACACACACATATATATATAAATATATGTGTATATATATATACACACACACACACACACACACACACACACACACAAGGGTGTGTGAAAGGGAAATAAAATCAACAGAGAAATAGAGCAAGGGATTGAACAACGTCAAGAGCCAAAACCAGGGGTGGCTGAAATAACGTCACCACTCTAAGAAAGGGAGAATTTACTAAACTCCATGAGCTCCTGATACAGTTTTTGTGGCCACCAACCGCTGCCCTAATTTATCCAATAAAGCATCTGATAGATGTAAGAGGGCTTTCCTCTTCCTGCATTCAGGTTTAATCTCATCACTGATCTTATCCACATGATCTCTTAGCAGGGGTTAGCGGAGATTGCAGCCGATAGCACAGCGCAGATGCCCAAGTCACTCTGTTATCACCTTTGCCTCCCCCTCCCATCCCCTGCCCACACACAAATCACTCAGAATATTCACCACTCCTTTATCCAGCTGATGGTTCCTTCAGACAGAAACTGGTTTATTCAACAACACCAGCCTAAAGCTATCCCAAACTGTCCAAAATAAAGAGGAACAGTGTATCATAGCTTTAAGGTGCTGCAGGGGGTATTTGTAAATGAAGACTTGACTTGTCAAATTTAGACCCCAGAAGGCAACAGATCACCTTGACACGTTGGTTTGGGTTTTTTTAATTTCTGATCTTGGCTAGAGCTCACGAAACAGCAAAACTCCTCTTTACCTTTCGCAAACTTCATATAGTGGACACGTTTCTTAGAAGATTTGGATTTTTCTTCGAGACTGAATGTCTTCTTCTGATTGTTCACTGAGGACTCTTAAGAAAAAGAAAACAAACATAATTCAACTCTATTAGAGGCACTCTAGCCACCAAATTCAAACACCACTGTATTGAACTTTCTCTCTCAAAACCAAGTCTTAACACCATATTGCAATACATTACTGAAGGAAGCATGGTAAGTTTTGTCCAAGACACGTTATTACTTGATGAGATGATTTTTTGCCACATCCCCTTCCCTTCCCATTTCCAAGGTAATGGAATTTGAAAAGGCAAATACAGGTACTCCAGGTGAAAGGCAAAGTCTACTTTAACACTATTTCTAAGGTAAGAAAAGAGTAACAGGTCAGGGTTTATAGTGCTGGTTGTTACAAACTATCTCAGAGTCTGGAAGGAAGATGTAAGAACAGCACAAAATCAAAAACTGAAGCTGACTGGGTAAGAAGAAAAAGGGGAAAAAAATTATCACACTGACATGTTGTCCACTTCTAAAACTACACGAAGTGCCTCTATCTGGACGCAGTTTGATACATCTGTGTAAGGAAATTAAAACAGTGGCAGAGCTTTTCTGTCCCTGAGGCCAGCTAGAACAAATTCCCACTTCCACATTATTTAATTTTCCTCGCTTCCAGGAGAGGGGTTACATCTAAACTGTCCCCTGGGAATGGTCTCTGCGGTTGGCCAAGTCTCAAATTCACTCAGGAGCCGTTTGGGAGAGTGTTAGCTTGTGCAGGTCAAAACCACAGGAAGGATTAGTTTAACTATTAACCAGTAGAGATATCGAGTTCCTGTGCTGTGGCAGGTCATTTTACTGGTACAGATGTACCCTTTGCATCCATAGAGCCTGTTAATTCACAAGAAATTCCCAGGAGGTAACCTGCTGTCCAGTTAGTAACTACTTTATTAGTCCTGTCCTGAAAAGAAATAGGCATCACAGGATCCTCTGCTCTGCAGCTCTAGAAAAGGCTACTCTGGTGAGATGGGGTTTTTTTCACCTCCCAGTGGCAACTGGGATGGGTAAGGAAATCAACCCACACCCTGAGGGCCAAGCTGAGTCACCTTTTTCATATGATCCCACCCCTGAAAGCTTTGCAGACCAAGCTTTTCTGACACTGAAACTGCACCGCTTCACTGTTTGATCGGCAGTGACACCTGATGATAGAGCCATTGATGTAAAATTAAATCTGCAGCCTGCAGTGGGAGAGCCGACTACCAGAAATCAGCCTGAGATCGGCTCTTCCATCTACAGACGAAGCCCAAATGAGAAAGGAAAGGACTAACAAACCCAGTTTTAGACAGAGTTTGCAGTCAACTTGAAAATCCTCAATAAAATGAAGATTTTAACTATGGGAAAAAGCAAACATCACAACTAAAATATCCTGAGCAGAGATGAGGCACTTTGAGTCTGCTCTCCGATCCACTTGTAGCAAAGAGAACGTTACACACAGCAAAGGATTTCCACAGGCATCCCTCCACTGCTTTATTCTTACAGGGAAAGGGGCAGCAGCACCGCCTTGTGCATTCAGGAGGAATTTCACTACGGAAATGTGCTGGCACTTGCAATGCACAGGTAGGGACGTCCCTGCGTCTTCCTGCGACTGGTAAATCCTTTGACAAACTAAGCAAGCACTGCAGGTACATTAATGTGCTTTTTGAAGCACATTTAGTCATAGCAATAAAGCCACGTGCATTTCCTATAGCAAATCTGATACAGGTGAATTAAAAGCACATTACAGACACGGTCAGCACGTTGTTGCCCCGTTTTACGACCAGGAAAGGGACACAGCCATTAGCATTTAGTATGAAAACTCCTCACTACGTGCTCAGCTAGAAAATAAATAGAGAAGAAAGCTAAAACTATGTAGATCAAGGGTATTTGAATGTTGGCACACTAACCACCACGGGGCCCTTCCTTCCCGATCTCTAATTGCAATCCAACTCTGGCAACTACACCAGTTATTTAAGAACAATGAAGTTTTTCAGCTGACTTTTAATGCAATTTGAAACTGGGTGATGGCCAACAATGTAACATTTGATCCTGTAGCACAGCTGCAGGCAGAGTTATCTGGATGAGTTTTGCCAGCTGAAACAATTGCCAAAAAAACAAGGTTCGGAGCCATGCTGCAAATCACCAAACGTGATTCTCACCGAGAATTTTCAACGTGCACCCAAATTTGTCCCAAGTGATTGGAAACTCTTGTTCCAGCTTTTAAAAAGACCAAGGAAAAATATCGGGGTAAACCAGGGTGAAATACGGTTTTCAGGGGACGCTTTGCATCAGTAGAGATGACCCAGGGAATATTGCACAGATTTAGGAACAAGACAGCCTTGCTCAATGAACCTGCCTCTGTGCTGACTCACTGTGTCCCTGGGCAAGTCACTTCAGCTCTCTGCTCAGCAGCTTGCAGGTTTGCCACCAGTTACACCTAACTGATCTTCCCATGGCTCAAGTTGGAACTTGGGTAGGATTTAGTTATAAAGGTAGAAAGGAACTTTGGGAATTTCCCTATGATATGCTACTCTGCCTCTCGAGGACTTTACAGCACCGAGCACTGTGTGGCCTCAGATGACGATTAGAGCTTCAACGTGCAAGGATAACTTAGAGGTTTGGTTTTTTTAATTCCTATGTATCAGGTTCAGAATTTTAATCCTAGTTTTCTAAGGTTAGAAACCAAGTTTGACTCTTCTTGCTAACCAACCTTCCTCTTTCTTCTACTTGCCTCTCCTAGAAAACCTCCTGTGCTAAGATAACAAATTATTATAAGCAGTTACATTAACTCAGCTGGCAATTCTGCCACCAGCAGCACACAGACAGGCTGCTACATCCAAACAGAAGCCCTTAGTTTAACAACACTCCCTGAGAGCTGTTTGGATATATGATCAGAATTTAAACTGGAGTCTGACTAAAGAAGAGATGATAAACCACTTGACTTGTACAGTTCTTTATGTAAGCTCACACCCACCAGTTTTACACAACTTCATTTTTACAAACCAAGAGCAAACTGCAAAGAGCTTTTAAAAATTAAAAGGATTTATAAATACCCCTTTTGGGAAAGTTGTGTAGTTTCCCCACTTGTGCGCTCTACGTCAGGGCTACAAAAATCACATTATACCACACTTAAAACAGAGGTGCATAACTCTGAGTCAAAAGCTAAGCAGCAGCTCTCTAGGGACAGGAAAAGTAAGTATTTAAGAAACCACCAGAGCATGGAAGCCAGGTATGACAGTTCATTAGTAAAAATAAGGCAAATGCACTGCAATGGTGAGTGACTGTTGTACAAAAATCACATTATACCACACTTAAAACAGAGATGCATAACTCTGAGTCAAAAGCTAAGCAGCAGCTCTCTAGGGACAGGAAAAGTAAGTATTTAAGAAACCACCAGAGCATGGAAGCCAGGTATGACAGTTCATTAGTAAAATAAGGCAAATGCATTGCAATGGTGACTGACTGTTGTCAGCCTTCACACAGGCTCTGGCTGCTTTATCAAGAAACAAGGGCTGCTGTGGAACACCCCAGCAAAAGGTCCCCCGTGTTGTAGTCCTGGATAAGATAAACAAATTCAGAAGTTTATATTGGATTTTGCCAGCAAAAAGCCTGACAGAGCACAACCAACTCACTGAGATTTACACATCCAGGCAAACTTGACCATGGTCATGGATAGCAACATGCCCTTTGGCTCCCACTGATTTTAGGAGACAAGGAGAAGGGGGAGTTGTCAACCACAGCAAGGAGACAATCAGCAGCCTAAAGGATTGGGCCTCAGCGAGCCTTCTGAGACAAAGAATGGAAACTCTGCTAAGCTTCCAGCATCTGACTGAGAAAAGCATGAACCTACCTGTTTCACCCTGTCCATGGCAATCGTTCAGTTCAGCCAGAAGCTGGTTGAAGTCATCCTGATGAGCAATCCAGTTGTCCTGTAAAGATCACCCACATGAATACAAGGCAAAAGATTTCAGAACTAACAGGAGCTTTGCTAGAACAGATACTAAGACTCTGCACTCTAACAAATAACTTAATTATACTCAACCTTAATAACCTAATATACTCAATCTTTGTTGGTGGGAGGGACCCTCAGAAGCTCCACAGGTGGCAATGCTAAGAGCAGCTCACTGCAGTAACAGCAAAGTGTAGAAGTGATAAAGGTTGTGTTCGTAAGCCCTTAAACAATACTGAGCTGCTGTTGGCTCTGCGCGTCTCCCATCTGCGCAAGATGTTTTCAAAAGTAGGCAGGAAACACTAGTGTGATTTTTTCCAGCAACAGTGTTATTTAAGATGTTGATCATGAGACAAGCAACTTTAGGATCACATTTTGCTCTATGTATTTGAACCCCAGTCAGAAAGGTGACTATCAGGAAGAGGAACAGCAGGGAGAAAGCTAAACAGGGCAGAAGACACAAGGAGAAAGGATTTCAGTGGTTTGCTTGGAAGCAAGAAAAAAATATATCCCTGAACATCCCTGTACCCTTTCCAAGCAGGTACTTACTCCTAAAACACCCAAAAAAAGTAGAACTAAACTCCAAGTCAAAAGTTTTGGCACAGACATTCGCATAGGTACATGCTGCCACCAGATGTGACACCAGATTTCATTAATGTCCCATTATAAAGACTGTGCTTTAGCTGAAACAAGAGCCATTTCCTTACCTGGGTCTAGTGCTCACCTCGTAATTGATGGTTGCTCCTAACCCCAGTGTGTTGTTTTTCACCTGAACCTTGATATGTTCTGTATTTCCTTGCTCCTGAGCCCCAAGACCCTAAGGAGAATTTAAAAGTAAAAATGTAAGGATTTTCCAGCAGTGACTAAGCAACTAGAGCTGTAAGACAGTTTGCAATGAAATACAGCAAGAAACCACAACTTACTATTTATTTGCTTGCCTGTAACTGACTTCATTCACAGGCATTAGCACATGTGAGATATTCAGGTTTTTTTTTTAATTTACTACTTAAGCCTCCAGCAAAGTATTATAAACACTAAAATAGCAACAACATTAAGTAGTTGGGTGATTAATCAGGAAGCCACCTGACATTCCTAGGCAAGTCCAAAGCGTTTACAATTTTAGAACAAGACGCTACATAAAAACAACATGCCTCTCCCCAAAAATACCTCTGTCATTGGGAAGACAGATGCCTCATGTAACGTGCAACACAGAATGAAGTTACACAGGAGGGAAGCAGGGAGGGAGAATCCAACTGGAGCTAGCAGGACATTAACAACTTCTTCCATCTCTTTCACACTCCTAATTTGATGAAGATATTGGAGCAAACAAACATTGGATTTGTCTGTCCTCAAAACCATAATCATTCAAATCTGGGAAGCAATCTTTAGGCCCACTATTACCTTTCTTAATTGTATGATTGGGGGGGAAATAAGACAAAGCATTTGGTTTAAAGCTTAACTCCTGGTATCTACCCGCTTTTTCCCCTCATGTATCACCAGGTAAGAGCATGGCTGTAACAAACACGTACGTGTGGAGCGGTGGAGAGAAGCCCTGAGGATAGATCCTGGGCATATCTAATATCTGATGCAATGAGGCATTTTTGAAAAAGGCTGTTGCTCCTACAAATCCGTATTTATTCGGTCAGTAGGGTGGAAAATGTACCTTGAAACTTCTGCTAACTAAAAAGTATGGAAGCAAGCAGGACACTTGGTGACACATCCTGCCATGACCCAATTCCAATACAACTAATAGCAGGCCTAGAGTAAGCAGCTTAATTTCACTGCACAGATGAGCTTTTGCCCATTAATTTGACCAAGCCAAGGTTCCATTTGTTTGAGTTTGTAGTGGAATGGAGAGATAAACCCTTCTCATACAGCTGCATACAGTAAAGGAAGATCCAGTAGCTTAATTAGGAAACTTAGTGTTGTGAAGATTACAGGGGGGATGACAGACAGAAAACACAGAACAACATGAGCCCTTCCTTTCACACCCTGACATTAACAGTGCTCACAACGGCAAAGGTGTTATCTATGGTCAGAGAAGCTGCCTAAAACACAATCAGAACATTTAACAGCATTTTTTCTGCTCTAGTTTACATATCTATTTTAATCTTATACACATAAAACACCTAGACATACAATTTACATAAAAAATAAAGTACTCAAGCTCCATGATCTTAATAGTTTGGTCTAAAGCCTAGAAAAACCAGTGCCAATTCATTGTCTTCAGCAGCCTTTTATCAGGTACCACCACTTGTTTGTGAAGTGAGAGGCAGCTGAAAGCCAAATTTATGTGTGCTACCTGGAAGACAACTGAGGCAACAGGAGGCTACAGTGACAAACCCAAGAGTAGGCTTATTTTCCTGAGTTCCAATGCATTCACAAAATTGAGAATAATTATAATTTTATTCCTTTAAAAAAAGGCTGGTAGCTGAAATCGAGGAGAAGAATTAAATGAGTATCATGGGAGTTGTGTGCATTTGTTTCATTAAACACGCTGACGTGCAGGCCCAAATCTCAGCTTTGCTGAGGCACCTCTGTGGAAGTTAAACTGCTTTTAAGGGGCAGCTGAGAAGTCTGCAGCTGTCTGCACTGACCTAGAGATGATTCTTAGAGCCAGAAACCAGTCACCTCACCCCACAGGTAGGGGCTGGAGCTGGGAAGGAATACAGCTCACGTAATGCTGCACTTTGGCCATTCATGGAACAGAGCACTGTAAGTTTTAAAAACAGGTAAGAGATTAAAAGTACTCCTGGAGTTGTTTTAAACAGTAGCAAAAGCCAGAGACAACTGAAGGCATAAAGGCAACTTTAAAGCCTTTAACCATCACCTGATTTAAGGTGCCAAGTCCTGCTCTTACTTGGGGACATAACTTAGACAGAGAGAGGGAAGAAACTGGAAAGCAGGACAGGCACAAACTGTAGAAACCTGTCAATGCTCAAATTCCCTGTGCACTTAGGAGAATAAATCAAATAATAACAATAAGCATATTTCAAACACTGAGATCAAGCCCAGAAGCCTTCCACCCTTCAGCTCGACATCTCTCCTTTACACCATACCTTTCCTTTGGACCAGCCCATCTTTTCCAGCATCTTCTGCCCAAATTTGGATTCATCTTTACTCCAAGTGCTATTCCGTGGATCCACAGACCACTTCTGCTTTCTACGGGCTAGAGCAGGAAGGGAAAATTCAAACAGGCTCTATTGACATCTCCACGGTGTTTAGTGTTTAATTAATTCAAGAGAAGCTCTTCATTGCAAAAAACCACAGAACTTACACCAGACTAAACACAGTTTGGGGGTTTTGCTAAACCTTACATTGCAAAAAAAAGGTCAGTGAAAATGTTAATTATTAATGTGAAGAACGCCAAAGTAAAATTGCAATGCAAGCTGTCATCCCCAGCGATGGGCTGCAAGTCAGGGAAGGCTTTACGGATTACTGTTGAGATGTACAGGCCTAAATTCCACAGAATCCCAGACCGTTAGGGATTGGAAGGGACCTCAAAAGCTCATCCAGTCCAATCCCCCTGCCGGAGCAGGAACACCCAGATGAGGTTACACAGGAAGGCGTCCAGGCGGGTTTTGAATGTCTGCAGAGAAGGAGACTCCACAACCTCTCTGGGCAGCCTGGTCCAGGGCTCTGTCACCCTCACTGAGAAGAAGTTTCTTCTCCAATTTCAGTGGAACCTCCTGTGTTCCAGTTTGTGTCCATTACCCCTTGTCCTATCATTGTTTGTCACCGAGAAGAGCCTGGCTCCATCCTCATGACACTCACCCTTTCAATATTTATGAACATTAATTCCACATTTATTCCAATTTTGCTTTACATCTGGCTTCCACATGAAATCTATGGGGGATGAGACTACAGTGCTGGCTTTCCCAGTTCTGGACAACATCCACTGGCCAGGTTTCCTTTTAACCAGAACACAGAAGTTTTAATATTTGCCTTCATGACAAAAGCCAGGTCAAAAATCAAACGTAAGTGACCAAGAGAAACTGAATTTTAGAAGACAAACCAGTGGGATTTCAGCTTTTGGATTTGCCACAGAGTGGTTTATTCGGAAACTGAGCAGTCACCGGAAATTATTGCAGGTGTTAAGAGATCCAAAGGAGAATCAAGGCTCTTTTGTCCTATAAAGAAACTGCAGTCCCCCAGGCCCACATGTGTGCGCTTGCCTCGATCATCAGGAATAACTTCACTGACATGCAGGAAGAAAAGCTTAGCCACAGTTAACCAGGCACTTTCTGCGTGCACCTAAACACACGCAGGAAGACAACCTAAATAAACAAGACAAACGAAGAATGGGGGACAGGAAGATTACCAACTTCATTAAACACGATGGGAAACGGTAGATCAAAAATGACCAATTAACCCAAGGCCATGCAAAGCCAAGTCCACCGAGGCGCTTTCAACGTAATCAGGAAGTCATCTTCCCTAAAATGCAACACTTAAGATTTGGGCCAGAGGGAGAGAATATTAGAAGGATGTTTTGATTCATTTTTGGCCCATTTTTGTTTCTTTCTTAAAGAACTAATGCTGTCAGAATGCACCATGGTGGCTTTTTTTAAACACACGTCCGAAGTCTTGAAGCTTAAAATAGGCGCTGTGTGATAGCCCTGTAAAAAACAATAATCTGATAAAGAATTTCATAAACCCCCAAAGAGTCCATAAAAGAGGTTTTACAGTAGGTAAACGATCGAGTGCTGTGAGAGGAATTGACACAGCACTCGCTTGGTTCACTTCTCTACGGGGAATCAACTTATTTACAGCAGGCAGCCTTTAGAGAAGCATCTACTACAAGTCCTGCCTGTGCTGCTAACGAAAGGTGGGAAAAAGACACTGTGGATTGGGATTTTACACACACCCAAGCAAATTTGGGTTCCTTGCTGCCCAACTGAGAACAAAATCTCCAGCTCCCTTAGGGACGTGGCTCACTTCACTCATTTACTGCAGTGTTTGAAACATGGAGCAAGGAATCTGGGACAATTCACATGGTTTTCATCTTCAAGATACAAACGGTCTCCAAGGACCCACATTTCCAGTGGTTTGTAGGGAGAATGAACTAAAAAGCGATCAGGCTGGCAGCAAAAGCTATGGCCTAAAAAACCAGTGCACACCTTGGCTGTTGCTTTCGTTCTTAGCTGACAATGAAACAAACAACACGAAGCAATAAAAGTAAAAAGCAGCAATAAAAAGGTCATGCTGCCCATATATCGTATCTTTTAATTTGTCCCTTTGTATAAAATCTCTCAATTAACATCAACCTGCCCTCGCTCAGTCACCAAAACCAAACTGTTCAATGCCTTTTATTAAAAACAATCTAACTGTAACAACATTTTAAGCGTGCCCAGATTCTGCTATGCTCTCCAGAACGAGAAATCCCAAGAAATTAAACTCAACGCAATTCTTAACGGTTGTAAACCCACCGCATGCATCCAAGGATTTGTCTACACGGTGGAGTTAATCCACGTCAACCCAATGCGTGAATTTAAATTAACTTCCAAATTGAGTTGTTTGATGTAGTTCAGCTAATCCACTTGAAAAGTTAATTTCTATTAATTTCCTGAGCACTTCTCTGTAGAGAAGCCCTAAGATGTTTTAGTCCCAGGAGTATCCTGGTAACAAAACACAAGGGCACCTAATGCAGATTTATAAAGCTTGAAGTTTTAAGAGATCTTCCATTTCCCAACACTTTTAATCCATGTATATCAAGCCTCATAGCTATCACTATGGGATTAATCCTCACATCTCTGTCAGGTTAACACACTCTTATTTTCAAACGTGGTAAGCCAGACAGAGGAAAATAAAGAAACTTGCTTATATCTTCAGAGAAGCATTTAAGGAAGTCAGGAACAACTTCACGCCACATACAGCAACCTTAAAATCATCTTTCCTCTCCAACCAACTATCTTAAAATCACCTTTCCTCTCCAACCAACCAACCAACAAGGCTGTTTAGCCAAGAATTTATCAGAAATATTTGTTCACTGATGTCTTAAGAGCAAGAAAGGAGACAACAGAAAACCTTCCAGCTAAAAAATAAAAAAATCAGCTCAGAATTTAACACCGATCTGGGTTGCTCATAAAATGACGCTAGAGACAGTAATGCAACTCTGGGCAAGCAGCACCATCCAGTGGAGAAAAGCATACTTTCTTTTAAAACTTCTTTCTTCACTCAGATACTCTATGATTTGAAAAAGATCAACGACTAAACCCTTTCACCAAGCCTAATTCTGTGCCTGGAGCACGGGTTTAACCATCATTTCTGAAAGCTCCCATCCAGACCCTTGCTGTGTGCCCGTACCTGGTGATAACGCGTGTAACAATGAGCAAGCTCTATTTCTCCACGTGGAAAAAGATACACTGCCCACAGGAAGGATTTTGGTTTTAATCCAAGCTATGAAACAAACCATTAACATATCCACTTTTTTTCCTGATAAGCACCAGTAAGGCAGACAGGTAATGGAAACTTATTAAAACTTAAAAACAAGTGAAAAATAAAAGCTAACTTCATCCATTTCTGCAATCGATATCTTTGTTTTAATTCAGGCTGCACAAGCATAGAATGATCGAGTTTGTCCTTTCCCAGTTTAATTCACATGACAAAAGATAGAAGGACCTCTTGAGACCTTCTACTTCAACCCTCTGCTTAAACAGGTTATCCAGGACCGTGTCCAGGGGATGAACGAAGGCAAACAAGTCCACAAAGGTGGCTCTCAGCAACCAGATTAATTTTTTAAGACATCTGATTTTAAAATTCTCTACACACAGGAACCACATTAATAGACGGACACAGATGGGCCACACAGGTGGCAGAGCCCCATCCCTGCAAACACTCAAGGCCAGGTTGGATGGGGATCAGAGCAGCCTGGGCTGGTGGGAGGTGTCCCTGCCCGTGGCAGGAGGTTGGACTGGATGAGCTTTAAAGTTCCCCTCCAACTAAAACTATTCTAAAACTATTGAAACGTGCAATAACCAATTAAAATAATTAACAAATTCTGAAAAAAAATGATACCAACAAAGCTTACAACTAAAATAATCAGAAAATCACACGTGTAAGCGCAATTTTGCTTTCCTCAATTCACATCTGTTATCTTCCACTGGAAACCATAGTTTCCAATTATCAATTAGGCTTAGGTCAATCTTTCCTGCAGTCAAACAAACTCAGTAGACCTTGTGCTCTCATGCTAAGGCTGTCCTGACACCAGTAAGCTTACCAAAAACACCTCTGGATGTTATCAATAACCAGACACAAGTATAGTAGTCCTGTTGAAAGAAACTATAAAAATCTGAGAGCTGGGTCTCTTCAGTTTGCAGAAGAGGAGACTGAGGGGAGACCTCATTCATGTTTATAAATATTGAAAGGGTGAGTGTCACGAGGATGGAGCCAGGCTCTTCTCGGTGACAAACAATGATAGGACAAGGGGTAACGGACACAAACTGGAACACAGGAGGTTCCACTGAAATTGGAGAAGAAACTTCTTCTCAGTGAGGGTGACAGAGCACTGGACCAGGCTGCCCAGAGAGGTTGTGGAGTCTCCTTCTCTGCAGACATTCAAAACCCGCCTGGACGCCTTCCTGTGTAACCTCATCTGGGTGTTCCTGCTCCGGCAGGGGGATTGGACTGGATGAGCTTTGGAGGTCCCTTCCAATCCCTAACGTTCTGTGATTCTGGCCCCAGCCTCAGCCCCGAGGCCGCTACTCCTGGCAGGGACAGCGCGGGCCCAGGCCCTTCAGTGAGGGCAGTGGAGAGGCCCTGGGACAGCGCCCACGCCGTCCCCCGGGACAGCGGCTCTTGCCCCGGTCCCTTCCCGGGGGGAACCGTACTCACGCTCCGCCAGCATCGCCATCTTGAGGGCCTGCCTCCCTGACCGGCGAGCGAACGCCACCGCGCCCCAACCCTTGAGGGGGACTTTTATGACTTTAGGCGCAGAAAAAGGCGGACAAACAGGATGCCTGACTAAAAACTCTTGAAGCAGACGAGCGCAACGGCCACTGTAGTGAAAACGGAGGGTGTAAACAAGCTACAATTCTACTAAAGATCTCAAATAACGTGTCGGGTTATATGTGTGTTATTCTTGCGCGTTTATGGGCGAATATTGGACAGGCATTTTTTTTAGACAGCCTAATAATGCGCATGCGCTGAGGCCTCAGAAGGAAGGCGGGGCAGGCCCGGGGGTGCGAGGTGACTTTTGCCCGGTGGTTCGGGGATACCGTGGAGCTGCTAAAGGCGCTGCGAGCGGGTGTAGGGGGTCGGATATTAAACTGTTCCAACAGTAGGAGCTTGGGATGTGTCATATTTTCCACAGGCGGCAAACGTTATGAGGGGGCTCATAGGGTCGGGGAAAATGGCTTCGTTTGTGGCTTCGAGTTGTGTGGTCACAGAATATCAGGAGTTGGAAGGGACCT